AAAAACTTCAGTGCAGAGACAGCAAATGACTGCGCACAGGGGATCCTCTGACCTGCTAGGACTCAGCTTCCTCCCAGACTCTTTTTTGTTTGGAATATCTAGAGGTTGCATTGCTACACACTGTTAATTTTTATTTTTTTATTATTTGCATATGGTTCATTTTTATTGGTAACATAAATGGCACACAGGCAGCATTTGATGCCCACCCAGGACATTAGAACTATCCATGTTTTCGAGATGATACCATCAAATTCCTTTTTTCCCCTTTACTACAGTCATGGAGCAGCTGAATAGAGTCAGATATATCTTTTCTAGGCTGCCCTTTGGTTGCAGTCCTGGAAAACATTTTATCTGAGTTAGAAACATTTACATGAACTGAGTGATATGAGTAACATATTTCTGCCAAAAGAACTTCAGGATGTTGTTACCCCATATTAACCTCTGAAGGATGAATGGATGGATAGCCTGAGATAGATAGATACAGGTATGCAATAGGATGAGAGGAAATGGCCGGGGGAAATTTAGATTGGACATTAGGAAAAATTTCTTCATGGAAAATGTTGTAAAGCATTGGAAAAGACTGCCCAGGGCAATGATGGAGTCACCATCCCTAGAGGGATTTAAAGCCCCAAGATGTGGCACTTGGGGACATGGGTTAGTGGTGACCTTGGCAGTGCTGGAAGAACCGTTGGATTTGATGATCTTTTTGCAACCTAAACGATTCTGTAATTCCATGAAAAATATGTATATATATATATATATATATATGTTGCTTTCTGCTTGACAGAGAGATTAAAGCTGCATCCCACCCATTCCATGATTAGATCTTCATCCTGAGAATATGAGATAGATAGATAGATAGATAGATAGATTCTGTGAATATAGATTAAGCTGCTGCTTTTCTCCTTTTCTTCATGTGGAATATTTTCTACCTCTCAGGGGAGAGGCAGCTCACTCTCATTAGCTCATGTAGCAGCAGGAGAGAGAAAGCTGCTGGCTCCTGAGGAATTCAGAGGCCTGAGGTGCCCCAAGCCTTTCTGTGAGGTTGCTAAGGGATCAGGAGATCTTTGTGGAGCACTCCAGGCTTGGGGCTGGCACTGCAGGCAGCTCTCCTGCCCTTATGCTTCCTGCAGAGAGAGATGGAAAATATGCTGGCAATCTGGAGCTCCCTGGCCCACTCCTTTCCTTCTTCTCTGCCTCCCACTCCACCCCCACAGTGGGACTTTTAATAAATCTGTCAACAAACAGATGAATGTCCTAGAAGTGAAAGGCAGAGAGAGCTGGTATTGTTCAACCTGGAGAAGAGGAGGCTCCAGGGAGATCTTGTGGCCTTTCAATACTTAAAGGGTGCTTATAAAAAAGATGGGGGCAGACTTTTTCAGCAGAGACAAGATAGGATGGTTTTAAACTAAAAGATTTAGATTTGACATAGGGAAGAAAGTTCTTACTGTGAGGGTGGAGAGGCCCTGGAACCAGGTTGCCCAGAGAAGCTGTGGATGCCCCATCCCTGGAAACATTCAAGGTCAGTTTGGATGAAGCTCTGAGAAACCTGGTCAAGTGGAAGGTGTCCCTGCCCATGCCAGGGGGCTTGGATTAGATGACATTTAAAGGTTTCTTCCAAGCCAACTCATCCCGTGATCCCATGATTTTGGAGTAGATCCCTGAAACTGAAGGGGAGCAAGTGGAAACAACACCTGTGTGTGGGCCTAAGGATGACAAAAGAAGGTCTGAATCAGATGGTGTTCTTCTTTCTGGGAGATCCATAGGGAATAGCAAAAAAACACCCAACAAGTTAACTGCAATTTCACTCTTAATGATTTCAGGGGACACTGAGTTTGTCCTTTATAGTTCCTGCATGTGTTTCGCATAGTTTTCCTGTATCAAAAATATTTATTATATTCCCCTCAATTAATGTGAAAGTACAGGTTCTCAGCTCTCACTACCAATTTCATAGAAAACATTATGTTTTCCCATAGAGACATCTTATTATAGTGGTACTTGATGTAGTCAAATTCTGATTATTTCACTGCTCCACTAACTGAATTTCTATTTATTGATATAAGTTTCTCTGATCTTCAGAGGTAGGATTTTTTGCTTTCCAGGTACGTCTTGAATGTCTCCTCCTCTAGTTAATCATTTATGATGTTAAATTTTAACATTCAACCCCCTCCTCCCCAAAACTAATGTCTTAAAAAGTATGTTTATCTAATAGCATCAGACACTTATAATTATTTTAATATATTTCCCACAAAACAGATCTAGGTTAATGCCAAGTTCATCTTCCTGCTATAATTTAAATTTTCCTGGTGTTAAAGAACCATAAGAGATAGACATCTTTTACTGAAAGAGTACCTGTTTTGTGATTGGTTAAAAATGTGAAATGCAGAGAGAACTGTTATTACTGAGGTCATATTAACTGTGAAGATATTGCTCATTGGAGGCACTTAAAGCAATAGTTTTGAGAAATACTACTTTGGATAAAAAAGGAGTTTATATAATAAGCAATATCCTACCTCATAAATGATAACTGCAAGACACCTCTTGAGTTCTGTGGATGACAAGGATACTTTATCAGAAGTTTAAATAACTGCTAAAATCACATTTTATCCAGATAAAATGAGGAAAAGTACTTTATTTTATACCATAGTCCCAGGCTGAACTGGCTCTATCGTCAGTGTGGAAAATAATTTTCAGGACGCATCTCTAATTGTTTGTTTGTGGGGAGAAGGAAGATTCAATTGGCGTAATTTAATGGACAGCATTCCATCCATAGTTTCAAGTCCATGTTGAATGGATAGAAGTGTAAATATTGCAAACATAGATCATAAAACTCATCCCACAGTTTTCTACTCTCTGCACTTGGTCAGTCTGGACCTCAATTAAACCTGAAATGCTGGGTTTGTTACCAAACTTCAGATTTCAGTAAGTCAGGACAACCTACTGAACAAAACATGAAGTTTTACAGATTTTTCCATGCCCAGAAAATCTGCATTTACCTCTTGTTCCATTTTAAGACTTTATTCTTTCTATTTGTCAAGTGGGGTTTTTTTTGTTTTTGTCAGAGCACATTTGTTTTCTAGTTTTAGTGCAATTCACTGGTGGCACTGTGTGTGTAGTGTTTGCCTCATTTTTGTTTCTCAAGGATATTAGTGACTAGAAATAATCTGGAAATGTTTGTACTGTGGCATTTGGTTTGACTACACTGATTATCATATTTTTCCCATTTTTCTACACTGAGCTTTTAAGATAACAGGTTCTGTTTCAACATTAGAAATTGAAAAACCAAAGTTGTCCCATTAATTCAATGAAATTCCTCACTATACAAAATTTAATGATGTAAGTAACTCATTTTGGAGTTTATGTGCATGTACATACCTTGCCTGCTAAGGTCTTAAACAAAAATTAAAATTAGATAAATTTTGAACTTATAAGCTTTTCTTTTTCCACATATAAGAAATTGAGGAAGACAAAAAGATGATGCCAGTCATTGCATGTTTGGCTTGATAAAGATGCCAATATTATTAATACAGAGCTCTAGGGTTTGTTTGTTGGTTGCTTTTGGCCTGTGACAATAATAGGTTAGATATTTTATTTGTAGATGTAGTCAGCAGCATGATTTTGTGGTTCTATAACCATTTTTTAGATGAACCACTCAAACAGGTAGAACTGATGACAAGCACTGTAGTAATAAGTTTATTTGCCCTGTTTTACCTTGTGTACAACTTTTTGTGAGATAAAATAGTTACTTACTGGAACCTACATTTTTGTATGTGCTCACTTGAGGAAAGTTCACAAAGTTTAGTGTTTAAGTATTTTGAAAGTTTAACTCTATCAAAATGCATTTATATATTTTTAATCTCTCAGTGAACAGCAATTGAAATGGAAATTGCTGAAAACAAGGTCGCAGGAGACCTATAGCCATCAAAGAATTGAGAAGAGGATTATGGTTGTGTGGGATCTTAGAGCAAAATATAATTGTAGCCTGAAGTGAAAGACAAACTTCTCAAAGACATATGAAAAATGTTGATAGCCAAACACAGCTAAAGAAATCAATCTGAAGTCCTTTACAAGCTCTTATATATATAACCTATACATAAGACACTAAAAGATCTAAAATAAGTCTGTACTTAATGAACAACTGGGATTTATTCATAGTTTTCTATGTGCAGTGTGTTACTTTGTATCGGGTGCCTCAGTTGCTTGAAAATTTGCTTCCCACACTTGTAACACCTCTGTGAACGTTTGCACCTTTTTGCTTTGTGTTCCAGCTTGGGAAATGTGGGAATGTGACAGGAACAATGTTGTTTGTCTTCTCCCTTCCACCTCCCCACCCCCACTGCCCCTGTCAACTGCTTAGACCTTGCCATGGATGTTTCCTATAAATCCCTCACAAACGCAGTGCTTGGTCATGTGGACTGTTAAGAGATGTATGCCGTATTTTTAGGGTGCTTATTCCATAACTGGAATGTTTCATAGTTCAAAGCAGTTGTAAGGAATTATTGTGTCTCAAATTTTCTTTTTCCATGATGATAAGCATTTGTATTTTTTTTCTTCCCTCAAACTGAATGAATGCAGTCCAGGAGCTGATTGATACAGGCTTTATTCCCAAGCCTTGTCCATATTCTTTTGTGTCCCCTTCCTTTTCAATCAACATCCATCATGTCATAGTAGGATAAAGTAAACTCAGATAAATATTATTTGGATGAGCTTTGATTTTCTTTTACTTTGCTAATCTGATCGAATGATTGTCATTTTAAATATCCAGAGGTTTAATTGCATTCCCTGATCCATATGCTAATATATATTTTAGTTGTATCATTATAGTAAAAAGGAGTCCATGTGATGTTTGTGTTATATATAGTTATTAGAGAGAAGAAGAAAAATACTTGAGTTAAACAGAAATCTGATTTGACAGTATTTTACCTCACAGGTATCAAGTAATTTTTTGTGTTAGATTTGAACATGCATGAGGAAAAAAAAACATTTAAAAAGAGATAGATTTGGGGAATATCAGATGAAGTAGCTGGAAATCTCAAACAATGAACTTCTGCCTCCTATGTAAAAGGTAATTGTTGGGAATAGTGTAAGATATTATTTTTAATCTGTGATCAATACACACAGCTGCCATGGACTGCAATTATTTCAAATTCTATATGAATTGTTGGGGGTTTTTTGCTACTAAATATATTGCTGAGATTTACACACCTGTAATTTTTAGTTTCTGATTGTGCTGGGTTAAATGCACAATGCAAGTTCCAGCTTCCTTATTATTGAACAAGTTTCTTGAATAGTGCAAAAATACTTTGTACAAGTGACCTCTGCTTGATTTAGCCTGTAACTCCTGTATTAAACTTTTTTTGTAGACTACATGTGCCCTTTTAAGAGGCAGAGTTACCAGGACCAGAGCAAACCTGGCACATACAGGTGACACACCAGTGGTGGGGACCTTTCAACCACAGCTTTTGGCGACAAGGGCTACAGCTATAAATCATTTGGGTGCAAAGATCATACCCTTAGCTGCTTGTATTGGCTGCTGTGTGCTTCAAACCCCATTCAACTGCCACCTAATCTGTGGATATTTGGACTTTTCCAGGTCTGGGAATTGCAGTCTGAGAAGTCAGGGACATAATCCATTCCTGACCCTCGTCTGGGTCAACAAACCACTGTTCTGCTTGGATTGCCTCAGGAATTAGATCTTCTGTGAGAACCTGGAGTGCAGGAGCAGGCCATTATATTTTTCCTTCCAAACTAGAGCCCTGTCTTACCCAGCAGCTTTTTATTTGGTCGGGAAGAAGGATGCCTGTGATCCGATGTCTCTGATCCAGTGCCTGCTCTGTGTTAATGCATTTTGTGTTGAGATTCACTGAGATGGAGGCAGAGAGCAAAAGGAGCTCTCTTAGAATGTGTCTCAAGTCTTATTCTAAATTGGATTAAAAGGAAAATCATGCTTTTCTCGAAGAGTGGTCTCTGGCTTGTCTATGCCAAGAGCTAATTATCACACAGAGATCAAGCCTAAGCCCCCATAAGTGGAAGAAAGCACCTCAGCTTTACAAAGTGTAGGGTATTAGACATACTGCCCTCCTGAGCCTTTCCTATTATCCAGGGATATCCTCCTTTGGTGAGCTGGAGCATGGATGGCATTTTGAGGTGTCTGCTTTTTCCTCTGTGTGTATGCTTAAAATGCATATATGGTGGGTTCTCCTGGGAGTACTAAGAGGGAAACCCTAAAGATGTTGAGTGAGACTCAACATTGAGTGAGTGCCTGCTCCACTTATGGATATGGGCTGGGAACTGGGACGTGTGTCAGGCCCTCTTGGTCAGACATGGAGCTGCTACTCTGAGCTGTTAAAGCAGGGAGGGAGAGAAGGACAGACAGTGCAGTGACAGGTCCATCTCACAACAGAGATCCAAGTGTCAGGAGAGATGTGGGATCCCTGTTCTTCTCTTGGTTTGATGTCCTCAGGTTGGAGCATATCCCTCATGGCTGTTCCCCAGCCTTATCCTTCCTCTGCCTGTGCCTGAGCTCTTTTTGCCTTGCTAAGGGATATTTGTGAGTTGGTTATCCAGTGTTCACTGTCCCTCACAGATGTAATTAGTTTTTGGTGATCCTTGTGCCTTTTTTTTGTTTCTAAATTTTTGCTTAGCTATAGTGACAACCCAGATGCTCTGGCTGTTTTCCAGGGTAAATTACTGATAATACTTGAACTGCAATAATGCAAAATAGTTCTAGAACTTCTCTAGTTCTCTCTTTCATCTTTCAACAAGAGGGTTCTTTTCAGTCATTAAATCTGATGAATTGATGGTTATCTACTTAAATCTACTGCCAAAGTAATTAACCCTGGAAAGTAATTCCCCTGCCAAATCAAATCAGTGTGTTTTTTTTTCTGAAATGATTTTTGAAAGACAGTAGTTCCTGTCAGTTCTCTAAGAAAACTCCAGAAGTGATTTTAGAGGTGAGCCAGTTTCCTTCTTTCAGGCTCAGTGGAAGAAGAAATTCAGCCTCTTTTCTCAGTAAAGATGTCTCCAGGTGATTGTGGCAAGAGTCTGTGTAACAACAAAGGTGTAATGGGGGAAAATTATTCTTGCTGGACAGAAATTTGAGGTTTTCCCACCTCAGAGCTCAGCAGGGCACTGATACTTTTGTTAAAAGAAAAATTAACTATGGAATAATAAGTACAGATGAGTTTTGGGTTGTTCTTTTTTCCCCCAAAAAGCTCATAGCTCAGCTCTGAAGTAAAAACAGCACATTGCAACAGGAAACAAAAGGGGCAAAATGGAGAGGCAGGAGGTCAGTGGGGCCAGAACACCTGGAGACAGCTGTTGTTGGGTCCTGTTTAGGTTTTTCTCTGGTTACGTAGATTAATATATCATTTTTCAGAATTGTGGCACAGTCGGGGATTTGAGTAGGGAAACTACCTGCAGTTTGTTTCTCCTGTGTTCCCAGGAAATACAGCTTAACTCATTATCTTTGTAGATAAGCAAGATCAGAGCAAATGATTATTCCAAATAGCTGATGAATTGCTGATACCTGAACATAGATATCCTTCAAAGGCCCTAAAAAACCTGGTTAACTGCTCAGCTGAAGGACAGTGCTCAGGCAGCCCATGGCACTAATGGAAAGATGTCATGAGACTTCAGGACAAAGTTGATGGCCTCAGTTGGCACCAGTTTTTCTGTATACATACTGAAAAAAATCCAAACCCAGAAACTCTCCTGTTTCCCTAGAATATAAATGCAGAGTCCTGCTGGCTAATGGAAGGGATTCACTGTAAACTCATTATTTTGTCTTTTTTTTTTTAATTAATATATTTTACATCATAGCAGTCAAATATTGTGTTACAATCCACAACACTTTTCAGACCTTTTTCACACTTAGTTTTCTTTTTCCCTCTCCTCAATAGATAATACTTTTGCACAGGGGCAAGATGACATTCCAAAGTGAATTCTGTGCTTAGACTGCAATATGCAGCAGAACTGCTAAAAGTGCAATGGTTTTAAATCATGTGTGCCTTTGGAAGGACACCAACACTGTATCATTGTCCTCCAAAAGAGATAAAAAGGGAGAAATAGCACATGAGTGCTCAGTTACCTTTTGGCTGCTCCCTTTGCTCTTGCTTGGCTAAAGAATTTTTCCTCTCTCTGACTGTGTGTGGCTTGAAACCACTTAAGGAATAAGCAGCTGAAATGTCAGCTGGTGCTGACATTTGCACTTACAAGAAGTCTCATGCATCAATCTGATGTTGATCTTACTTATTAAGGCAAGTAAAAGCTTCAGATTCAGTTCAGGTTTTCAAACTAGTCCTGAGTTCTCTGGTTTTAATATTACAAAGGCTTTGAGTCTTGTTGGACTTTAATCACATACAGGATGTGGACAGATTCACTGATGAGTCTTAAAATCTGGTTTAAATGCAGCTTTTGGACCACTAAGTGACTCCAGGCTCAGAGCACTGGAAGAGAGGAGATTCCGGCATTTTACATGGCTGCAATTGTTATTTCATACAAAAATGTACAAAACTAACACTTCGTTCTTTGCTACACTTCTTGTTCTCCTAATTTATCAACCCTGACTGTAACATCTTTATGATTATGAATTTACAATGTGTGAGCACATAAAAATAAAGTTAAAAGGGTATAAAGGCTGCCTGTTACTGCATCCATATATTAAGAACTTAATTAAGTATGTGGTTAAGGAAATACAATTTGGAACTTGTTTCTGTAAATACCACTGTGAGCTGCCATCTATGCCTTGAATGAGATTTATTTGCAAAGATCTTGATCTCTATCAAATGTCTTGTACTGGCCTAAAAACACTTTATTTGTCTTTGGGATTTAATGTGATTTTCTTTACCCACATCCAGCATACAACATAAAGAATAACTTCCCACATTTAGTGTGAATGTAGTTTTTTCCCTGGATATTGCCACTGACCTAATGAGAAAGTCAGAGAACAAGGAATGAGAGGTGTTCACCCTCAGAAAACTACAAATGTAAAAGCAGTTATAACTTGTGATTTTCATAGTTGTTAGCCCCTGATTTTGACATTATTTTAGGTTGTCTTTATTTAAGGAATAACAGCCCTTCAAAATATGTCACATTTAAAACACGGGTGACAAAAGAGTTTCTATTTCCAGAAAAGAAATGTTAGGTTTTTGAGGTTTCTCTGCACCAAAAAATAATCATATAATGTTAAATCTTGTATGTCACAAACTGTGATTTGGGGGTAGCTCATTTGTTTTCGCTGGATTGTTTGGCAGGAGAAGGGAAGGTCTTCTGAATCCTATTTTTAACATTAAAATGCTATTGTAATTCTTGCATTTAATTCACTACCTGGTGGGAAGTATATTGAATTTTTCCCCCGTCATTGTAGTATATCAAGCTTTTTAAATGCATTTCTTCTGTGCTTTCCTGCCTAGAGATGTTTTATAAAATATGGGTGGATTGATAGATAAGACAGGTAGATAGACCAACCAATTGATATTTTTGGGTGTAAACATATTTATATAAACCTGTAGATGCACTCATATGTACATACATGCATACATATATATCAGAGAGAACGACAAATTTTGGAAACAATAGATGGGTTTATATTCTTCTAGCATTTGTAGGAAGGAATTTTTGCTTTTTAATTATGGTCTGCCAGCATTCCAGTCTTCAGGACGTCAAGTTATCAAGAGGGAACGTACATGTTTCTTGAGACAGCTGGTGGAATCTAATCATGTTTGAGGGCTGAATATCTGAGTCTGTTTAACTGCCTTCTGAGTTCATTTCTATTACCATTTTCAGGATGTAAATAGCCTTTAAATATTCTGATATTGATCATAATTTGTGCTCATGTTACTATTTTACAGTGCAAAAGGTGATAATTAGGTTTTTCTGCTCCCTGTTTTAACCTGTGCCCAGCACTATTCTAAGCAGAAATGTCATTGAATGCTTAATTTTTCAGGGTTTTATAGAGATGATGATGTTTAAAAGTACAGCCTCAATTGCATTTCTAAACTAACCATATGTCCATTGAAGAGTTGCATATGTTTAGCAAGCTTAGCTGACTTGATCCTTAAGCAAGTCTTAACAGCAGTTTATAGTAGGGTTTTAAATATATTATATGTGAGGAGACACAGATATTGGCTTAAATCATTGATAGTAACTAGATAGGGATGAAAAGAACTAACCCCCTGAAGCTGCCTATTAAATATTGCTGGAGATTTGAATAAAGCTCAATACAGTGAGAAGACACTTAAAATATTCCCAGTTTGGAGCAGTAGGAAGATACCTAGTGGAGGTGGTTCTAGACTGCATATATTTTAGCTATAGCAAGGAAGATTTTTTGTCTCTTTACTCCTACTTCTAGTATTTTCTAAATACTCTCTAAATGTCCATGCAGCAGCAGTGAACTTTTATTAAATAATGGAATAGAAATTAATAAATTAATAGTAATGTAATATAAAAGTACCTGGCCTAAAGCTGAATTGAACAGTAAATAATTTTTAAAAAGTTGTTTCTGTAAAATCAGTAAAAGTCACAATAGTCATAAACATGACTATATTTGTGTATTACAATCAGGTCCTACCTTTGTTATTAATTGGATACCTGCAAAAAATGGCCTTTCTAGTTGAGAAATGAAATCTTTGGAGTTATGTTTCCAGAGTGTAGTTTTCATTGTGGATATGGTAGAGGAATAGGACTTCTTTAGTGGTGGTAGAAAGTTGAAATGACCCACTACATTTTAATAATAATTTTATAAGTATTTTATTTCCTGCTAAGAGTAACTGAAGCAAAACCAGTTTTCTAAAAAGCTAAACCTTTCTATAGTTACCTGTAATTGAATAAGAGAACTCTGAAAGAGATTGCACCATGATTTTGTTTGAGAGGTGTTGCTTTCAGGGAACATTTTACATTC